CTGGTACATCCCCTCGGGCAAGGGAAGCAAAAGAAACAAAATAAACAAATGGGACTACATAAAACTAGTAAATTTTTTCACAGCAAAGGAAATGATCAATAAAACAAAAAGACATCCTGGTGAATGGGAATTTTTTTCTTTTAATAGCTGGACTATAGTCTACTTGTCATATTGTGACATATTTTCATAATGAGTTTCACAATCAGATTTTATTTTATTTTTAGTGCGTTAGTACTAGTTTGCTTTCTCTCTTCTTAACTTTCTGCATTATCTTTCAATTTTCCCTCTTTGATAATGTTAACGGCAGTTTTTAATTCTACTAGTGGAACTTCTGATATATTTCAATATTATTTAAAAATACATTTCTCAATACATTAATTTCAGAAAATTGATTACTTCTATTCATCTCAATCATAAAAAAAGAAATTAATACTTTCAGAAGAATTTTATAATTCCTTCCATCTCTATCTTAATCCTTGGTATTTGTTGATCTAGACTAAAAATTTTATCTCAGTCTATTTAGGTTGCATTATTATAATTGTCACTAGAGCACCTACATTTTGTTTTGAAAGTGAGTTATTTAAGAAAAGCTTTCTAACTATAATTCAAAATCCAGAGGCAACTTTAAAAAACATTGACAAATATCTATAATTTGCTAACTTTCATGTACAAAGGAAAAATTGTAAGAAAATATTCATGTATTTGCTCATTTGTGCAAAATAATTGTTTTATTTAATACAGTTAGCTTACATTTTAGAAGTATGTCAACATCTGCTGCAAGCAATATGGCAGATTTAGGTAATTTGACACTCCTGGAAAAAACAATGTTAAAATTATTTAAAGGCTGGATAAAGTATATTTTGTAAGTCTTTATAACGCATTGCTGGGCTGAGAAGAATGGAAGGAACCCACAGAACTCTAAACGTGAGTAAATAAAGGAACCCTGGGAGGTAAGAAACGTCAAACTGTTTTTTTCTTGAGGATCAACCAAAGCCTGGGTCTACTCACCCTCCCTCTGGAAAGCCACATGGTGAACAGGAGACAAGAGATTAAACGTGGGTCCTCTCTACGTGTGTGTGGGGGGAGGGGTGTCTAACAGAAGACCCCTGCCCAGGTCCGAACCAGCCAAGGGCTGCACTGTCACGGGAGGCTGACGGGTAAATGCGCTTACAGCTGCGAGGACCTTACAAGGAAACCGAATTATCTGGAATTTACTGCCAGAGGGAGAATGAAAATCTCCTGAGAAACCGTAACTGTGTAGCGTGCAGATTTGAGGCTTGTGTCTAAACCACTGTGTAGTTAAAAAAAACTCACTTAGATAATTTAATTAAAATAATATTGGATTGGTAGTGCCTTAGATGATGGGCAAAAACAAACACATATCCTATCTCTAGGAGAGGAACTTCAACACAAGCCTTAAGAATATCCATTTAGGGCCGGCCCAGTGGCGCGATGGTTGGGAACTGGCTTGGGACCCCAAGCCAGAGGGCCCCGGTTCGGATCCCACATATGAGGGCCAGTGACACTGCCCTCCACAGCTGGGATGCTGAACAGTGGCTTGACCTGGAGCTGGGCTGCCGTGAGTCACCGGCCACGGCTAGACTGCAGCCCCTGTGTTAGTGGGTTGCCATGGGCTACCGTGTGTAGCCAGCAGCCAGCGTGAGCGGCCAGCAGCCGCTGTGAGCGGCCGTCCAGAAGCCGGCGACTGATCTGCCTCTCCCGGGAAAAGCGCGATGATGGTGCCAACTTGGGCCAGTGAAGCGACGTCCTCCACAACTAGACTGAAGAACAAAACGACAGCAACTTGTCTGTTCCCCTTCCCCCAATTCCCCAGCACTGTTCCCATCCCCCCAATTCCCCAATAAAAAAATCTCAAAAAAAAAGGAATATTCATTTAAAGAGTCCAAGGAATAACTTGATTCACAGTTAAAAAAAGAGAAAGACAAACATAAAACACATGAGCAATAATTCACCATCTACGAAAGAAGACGGAATGAAAGCCAAGGAACTGTCAATTCAGAGAGAATACAAAATAATGTGAAAGGGGTATAGTTCATGCATTTCAAGAAATAAAGGATAAGCTTGATAATTCCTGGGAATAACAAAATTATAATGAAGGACTCAGACAAATTGAAAACAACCAAAAAGTAACTATATTATAGTCAGTACACAGAGAGATAATGCATCAACCCGAATTCTCCATCCAGCAAAAATATCTTTAAAGACAGTGGTGAAATAAAGACATGCAGACAGACAACAGCAGGTTCCCCTCCCCATCACAGGCTCTCGTCCAGGGAAAGCCTGCAGGACCCAGGAAAAGGTGCGGGAAGAAATCGCGCGCAGAGGAAGCGGCAGCGACGCAGCCACGTGAGAACACGGCAGTGAACTTCCGACCCCAGGCACCGCGTGTCTTCCTCCCACTCACAGAAACCCGGCCGAGGAAACAGGAAGGGCCTCGCTACCCGTGGGGAACACACCCACAGAAAACAGAGTCCGCCAAACACAGTGATCCCCCGAGACTTTCCTCCCAGGGCACAAGTCTGCGCCTTCATGAAGCTGCGTTCTAGCGGGAAAGCCACGTAAGCCAATGATCACACAGGTCACAGCAGACGCAGCTGAATCCTGTGAGGCGAGTGTGTGACACTAAGAGGCATAACACAGTGGGTGTGACAAGGCCAGAACAAGCTAGGATTGTGCTGCGTGCCCTGCTGTTCCCAGCGACATGCTGCTGCATGGGAAGAAAGGAGGAACAAGGACAGTGACCCGAGAGAGCCGCGTGGAGTAAACCAACTGACCACCGGCGTCTAGACTAAGGAGCCAGACGAGAGAGCCTGCGAGGGCATGATGTCATCCCCTCTACAAAGTGACAAACGTGGCTGGTGAGTAAAAGTGAGGAAATTCGGATTTATAGACATAACATTAGCGTTCAGACATGGAGATGCAGAGCTTTTTCTAAATCCTATGTTAGAGGCAGCTACTCCACCGCGGTCGATGTGTCAAGTCTGCAAACTAAACCACCACAGCTGGTGACAGGTGGGGGCGGGATCTAAAGGAGCTCTGAGGGCCCCGCCCTTCTTGGCCCCTCCTCTCCGCCTCCCCGCCCCAGCCCCGTTCCCACCTCTGCAGACGAGGTCTCCCTGCTGTGCTTCACGCAGAGCAGAAGAGGCACAGCCACAGTTTCAGGGTTCACATCACTTCTTTGCAGGTAAACAGCCACCACCACTGAGCCCAAGGGCCAGGTTTCAGCAGACAGTCTGCGTGGTCTCAGTTTGGGTCACAGATGACTGTGACTGAAGGGAAGGTGACAATGGCTACAGACAGGGCAGCCGTGGATCTCAGGAAAGGAGTGAGGAGGGGGGGCGCTCACTACCGCACTGAGCTAGTACACACAGCGGTAAACCCCAAAAATACATGCGCAGCATGTGAGAATTTTCTAAAAGGAATTCTTACTTTAAAAATCGCCCCTCTCTTGCAAAAAAAAAAAAAAAATCCCCAAATGTGAGAAATAAATGTTTAGGATGAACAGAAAGTAGTGAGATCTATTTGTTACTTTAGCAGCTTAGCCATTTAAAAATACTACCAGCGTGTGAAGCATCAAGTATTTAGAAGTAACAGTAATATCTGAATAGTTCAATTTAATGAACACTCTTATCTGACCGTTTATGTGAAAGGCACTGGAGGAGAGATGTGGGGTGAACACAAAACTGAGTCAGGAATGGGCGGCGCCCCAAAGAGCTTCAATCCTGTGACAAATGGTGACCACACAGGGCAGATGAGGCCTGTGCGAATGAAGAGGGTCCCTTAGGCGTCAGGAATCCAGCGAACGAGTGTTCTCTGTGCAGCCTGCTCCAGGCTCTGCGCTGCTGTTACTCAGGAGTACTATTAAACATCTCAGAATGCTCTAGTCCTACTATCACATTTTATGTGATGTAAACAGTACACATTTTGTTTAGTCATGAACACATCACACTGAAAAACATACATCCTAAATCTCACATAACAGTAACACATAAGAAATAGACAGTCAGAGTTTGCCAAGTACATTTATCACTGAGTTTTATATATTTAAACTATGGAGATGAGCATGACTGGCTGAGAATATCGTTTTAAATATATGTGTATGTGTTTTCAATACCATAACACAAATCCAATGCCAGTAACTGAACGTCTAGAAACTCCTCTCAAAGTGCCTATTCACACTGCAGCTGACAGTGGTCGGGACTTTACGTTAGGCCAGAAACACAGGTCCAGCCCGACCCAGGGGCCTGGGACCTGCACAGCCGAGGAGCCCCCACGGCCACCGCAGCCCAAGGGTCTGCACGCTCAGTAACTCTGTCCCAGCATTTTGAGTTATCTTTTAAAATCTAGTAAATCACATAAAAATGCTAAACACCTGAAGCTGAGCTGATGTTGTATAATATTATATGTCAACTATAATTGAATATATATATAGTCACGGGACGTGGAGTATAGTGTGGGAGTGGAGTCAAGGGAATTGTAATAGATATGTATGATATGGGGGGGAGTGGAGTGGTGGATTGGGGGAGGGGGCTGTCACTTTGAGGGGTAAAAAGTATAACTATTGCACTGTGTTGTACAGCTGAAACTAGTTTTTAAAAATGTGTATTTCACAAGAAAAAATGCTAAGCTTATATTCTCATTTTGTTCTACTGCAGATTGTGTGCAGGAAGGGCAGACTGTCCACAGCACCCAGACCACGAAGATGAAATAACTTCTGCACAAAACCTTAAGTCAAGAAATGCCATTTATAAGAGAGGATACCACCAACCAACACCCAAACAATCAATAAATTATAAGGTTTTATGCCTAAATGTTGTCATGATAAAAAGTCACATATAGAAACAAATTACAAAATGAGTTTAAAGCACTTAATTACAATATGTCTATTATGTTGTTTGTAACATAAGAGTTTATCTTTTTAAAAAAAGCTTATGGCACATTCTTAACTAGAGCACCAAAATCTAAATTTAGATACTTACATTATTGCACTCTCCAAGGAAATACAGTGCAAATCCGTCAGCTTTTGTGGCTGCCAAAGTAACAAAAGGGAAGAAACTAATCTCAATAGAGGAACACAACACTGTGAATTCTCTAAGTCAGACCTCGGATCTGAGTCTGCTGAGTGGGTCCGTTAACATAATTAATGGTCGTGCAGTAAACTGGACAAAATAATTTATGGCTTTTCTCAATTGCATAATTAGAGGATTTCCATTTTCTTTCCATCAGCTATTGCAAATTTTAAGATGTGACATCCTCAGATGCATATAGCAGTCAGTGTATATGGAATAGTCGTCAAACTTTAAAATTGGAATTATTGTAAAGAGTTTCAAAATTTGCAAATTGAATTTAGTTTTTAAAGTATTAAAAATGCCAGAAGTGATATTCATAATACTGAATAATCGATAGAAGCATCAACCAAAAATAACGCGTGTGTATCGACACATCATCACTGACGAGAACATGGTTTACCTTTTCTAACTGCTTCGGGGTCGTCTGACGGTGACGACCGTGGTGCTGGCACAGTTAATTAAGTCTTAGAGGATCGGCCTGCGTTTAACCCCCCACGTGCACAACTCCTGTGACCTGTGTCTGTAGGTGAGACCCTCGACCTGTGTTTGCCACAGTGTCCTCATCAGTAACATGGTGAGAACAGTACATAAAGTTGTCATCTCCCCAAATAAATGTAAAATGCTTCTTCCTTAACAATTAATGATTTCTTGTATAAAGATGTCATTTAGTTCAGTTAAAACTATACTTTCCAAAGGAAACTAGGCTTTCATTAGCAGGTATAGTACATTCCATTTAAACATCAGGCAGAAACTTTTCTTGGATAATTTAGAAAATCTTAGGTTTACATCATTCTGCGAGTTTCATAATAAAATATCTTCACTTTAAACTTAGCCCAAGAATAGAAGTAAATAACATACATTTGCTTCTTAGCAGGCACATTATTTCTGCCACTTTCTTCAATGAAATAGAAGCAACTTTGGTTCAATTTTCCTACTCCGAGGAACAAACATGTCTCTTACCTATTTTAATGATGCTACTCAACTCATAGAGGAGTAGCTGGTTGTCTCCTCCAGTATCCAGCCGCTGTTCTATGTAGCTGTTTAGCTCATACACAACTCCCTGCATGTTGGTATCTTGGTACTTAGAATAAAAATTAAAAAAAGAAGAAAAAGAAAGGACATAAGTAAATGTAATAAAACAAAAACTCCTTAGTTTATAAAACATACTATTAACATATAGGATTTTATATAGCTATTCATTATGTTTTTAGAGAGCATGATTTAATATTACATTCCACTACAGGAGTGCAAATTAAAATTGTGACTTAGAATTATCTACAGCCTCCATGTGTGCTTATTAATATTAATATATCAAACATTACAAACTACAACCTTGTTTCTGAAGCTTTATATATAATGTATCAGGCAAACATGGTCAGTAAAAAACAACGCAAAAGTTTTCTAACTGAATGAAACATTGTAAGATGCTGGAAAAGTCGCCCTTACGCAGTGCCCCGGGTGAAACCGGGTTCATTACCATCCCCTGCTTTCCATCCATGTGACCACCACCCTCATCTTATGTCAACTCTGCCACTAGCATGGGGGCAAGCGGCTGGGGCCATAGCCACTGTCGCCACAGCAAGTCTCCAGCACTGGGCTCCATCAAGGAACCAGGGACAAGGGCAGGTGGCAGCTGGAGCTAAGTGGGAACCACCCGAGCACAGCCAGCACCGTCTTCTCTAGAAGGGCTGGGAACCGGTCTCTAACATGGGCCTCCCTGGCCTCCAGCTAAGGCCCTTCTCCAAACAACAGCTGTGCAACTTAAAAAATAAAGTCAACCTCTGTCACTCCCTGGATGACAGGACTCCTGGGCTCCCGCTGCACCTACAAACTGCTCACAGGATGGCCTCCTACATCCCACAAAACGTGGGCATTTTATGCCTCGGAAACTGTCTCAAGCCAGCTTCATCTTTCTGATCGCTCAGATCTTTCGCTCCTGAAGGTCTATGGCTTCTGTTATTCTCGATAAACACACATGGAATGAACATGTCAGTGAAAGAATGGATGCAGCAGTCAACCACACCCGAGCACGCGCCGGCCCCCGGCAACCTCACACACAGGCGCTCTGAGACACAGAGGATAGAGAGTGACCAAAGGTGAGTCCTGGTCCTCGAAAAACCGACATTCCAGCTGGAAGAGATGAGACAAGGAAACCACTGTCATCGAAAGAAGGCGGCAGGCGCTATGCAGAAAGAGGGGTGGGATGGCTGACAGCCACAGGGCTACTCCTCAACAGGACCAGGGAGGAAGGCTTGGGGACACGGGACACGGCAGACTCCAGTGGGGCCTGACACTTTATGATGTCTGTGGGCCGAGCCTCCCTGTCCTTATAGGGACTGCTTACACCCACCGTCTCTCTGCTTCTGACCTAGAAACAGGCTCAGGTGCAGGCCGGCCAGAAAGTGTGGGACGGGGGCGGTTTGCAGGGAGGGACACACACACCAGCGAGCAGGCCCTGGAAAGCAGTGGGAACGGGTCTCACGGGTGTTCAAACAGGGGAGAAGAAAGCTGTTGCTGCATGGAGGCACCACTGTGAGATGGGGCACCAGGCAGACACTGGGTTCAGGGTGGGGGTGGCTGAAGTGCGTCCCCAAGCGGCTGACGCTCAGGGCTCCCGGGCGGGGTGTATTCCAGGCCTGGCTGGCTGGCTGCACAGTGGCTTTACTCCTAGGGCCTGTCTGCCCTTCCCCTGGCCGTGACCTAGGACAGTCCTCCACCATGGCCCTGAGAAACGCACTCCCCAGGCCTGCGGGAGTGGCTCTGTGGTGTTTGCAGATCACCCACAAGGGCTGCTCTCCCTCAGGTTTTCCTGAATTCACTGACAAGATGTGACCTGGCGTGGCAGGGTATGAGTGACAACACGTAAAATCCGGAGACAAGGTGGGTGCGGTCAGCATGTGGGCTGCGGTCAGACCGCTCTGGCCAGCGGAGACCATGAGCACCGGCTGCCTGACCGCAGGCCCTGGGAATGACACAGGGCAGCCCACCACCTCCTCAGGGAAGCTCTGGGTCAAGTGACACAAATCTGCCTTGGTCACCACAACAGGCAGTCAGAGTGCCCAACGAATTCCAGGTGAGCCAGTTCACAGGCCTGGAGCCCAAGTCCCCGGAAGAAGGGTCCCAGCCCATAGCCAGAACGTCACCCTGCAGACCTGTCATGGTCCCGAGGCCGGTGGCACCTGGCTGGGCAGCTGCACTGGGGGCAGGGAAATTGCCAGGCTTGGCAGGGCCTGCCGGACCTCGGCTCAGCCGACACCGCTCTGTGAGACCCAAAACCACGGTGCTGTGCCCGTCCGACGGGCTGTGGGCACCAGGGGAGCAGCGGGGCTTTAGCTCGGGCCTGCCTCAGAACAGGCCCCGGGAGGTTCTGAAACAGCCTGTGCTACACGCAGTTTCACGTGCGTTTGGAGTAGATATTCTCAAGAACTGGCAGAAGCCCCACACTGGAGGGTCTCCCCTTGGGAAAGCAGTGGCAAGTGAGACTTACAGAAATCTGGGGACCAGCTCCCCAAGTACAGAGAACAACTGAAACAGGCTAATGAACAGGACCCCAGAGCACGGAAACAGAAACCTACCAGGCAGCTCTCACACTCCATCACAAACTCTGAGCTTCCTGACGCGGCCCCAGGGCTGCCACCTGCCCTGGCCAGCCCCGCATCGCGTCCTGCGGGCAGGTTCTGAGGCGCAGGTGCTCTGCTGTCACCCTGGCTGTCCTCACACACCTGAGTCAGCCTACCCCTCCCTTCAACGCGGCTCCTGCATGCTTAGCTGGCCCCCCACCCGTGGAGTAGCCTTGGCCTCCTCACCAAGTTTTGTGACATTACTGTTAAAGTTTTATCTTGTTAATAGTTATAACGTCCCAGTTATTTGCTAGCTCCAGATATTGTCCAAGTCCACTTCGTACGCAGATACCAGTATGACAGTGAAAATTTACTTAAAAGTCATGAACACTTGAAATTCCGATGCCTACAGAACATGACAGCAGCGGATGGGGTCACAGGAGCTTACGCTGCTTATCATCCTTAAACCAGGTCCTCGCTGAGATACTGTCAGATTTGAAGACTCCAAAAAAATTGCTAGACTCCTAAACTGAGCCACACAGAAGCCATCATGCCCAAAAATCTAACGCTAGATATTTATTTTTCATGAACCAGTCCATTCTTCAAATACGTCCTTTTTATTTGTAGGAAGAGGCACTTTAGCTCGTTGTAAAGTGGGTTTTCAGCCACTCCACAGAGGAGTCCCTATAAAAATGAACTGCAGATCGACTCCCTTTCCTGACAATGAAATTCTGAGAACAGGCCCTGTGTGCAGGGCGGCGGTTAACGAGCAGCCCTCCACTAGCTCTTGTGGGCAGGCAGTGCGGTCACACAGAGGTGAGAGCCAGAGGGCACGCTGGGACGTGGGCAGGTCAACCTGAGGTCTCCTTTATCCAGGTCTCTGGGCTTTGGTTTTCTCACTCGTAGCACAAGAAGGCTGTTTCAACACTAACTGTCCATGACAATCTGTGACCTAGGACTTTATCATAATTTTTATTGTTGTGTAAGTTTGAATTTGAATCTTTAACCTCATAGTTGGGTTAGCACACCATTTCCTGTGATGACCAATGACAACTGCATAAATCTCATAAGAACAAAATGTTTTATTATGATTCCTACTCATATTGGTGTAATACAACTCCAATATTAAAGTCCTATCTACATAGTGGGCCAGTCAAACCGTAACACACCGTAAAACCGAGGAGTACGTGTGAATGGGAAGTAAGACGCCTACGCACTAGCTGGCGGTTCTCCTGTGGCCCATCTGGCCCTCCTGAGGACCGCCGTGAAAGCAAAGGCACAGGGACACGCGGGACAAGGTCAAGTCCTGCACTGCTGGGACGTGGGTATGCAGACGCCACAAGGAAAGCTACCGAGGGACCGGTTCAGTTCCAATTCTATGGATCAAGGAACAGAAAAGTCCCACAGGACATCGTGAAGCTGCGCTTGTATTTGCAGAGCACTGTAACTTCACAGTGTCCTCTCACTGCCTTCACTGTACATAAGACGCCACACACAGAACATGCTGAGCGAGCACCGCTGAGACATTCCTCCCTGAACAAGGTTAGAATTCAAGCTGGAAAGAGCTGTGCGTTGGACGCGTCAGTTCTCAGGCCTCAGGGTCGGACAGACAGCGAGCCAAGCCTTGGGCCCTCTCCTCACTGACCGTCACACAGTACCTGCTTTGCATTAGCACCGCCACTGAGAACATGGACTGAAAACACAGGACCTCACTGAGTGGCTGAGTGACCAACCATAAAACCGTGAACTCGGCCAAGCTCTGTGTAATAGGGTCGCAGCCTCCCAGGAATTTAGCCCACCTGTGAGTTTGCGGGGCTACCTTAGAGCTTTACCCTGTTTGCCCCAAAGTAAGACCTCGCTGGAAAATAAGCCCTTGTATGATTTTAGGGGCCAAAATATGACACCTTGGCATACTGAATATTTTAAGCTGAAGGAGTTTATGGAAAAGGCACCCTTCTCCTGGAAACAGGTCATAAAACCCTCATGTGAGGGGTGCATGCCCTCCACATCCTGGAGGAATCATGCTAGGGCTTCTTCCCTGGCGAGGTCTTATTTTTGGGGAAACACAGTAGGCGCACAGTCAGGGAACCAGGGAAGGGCCAGTCTATCACCCAGAGGGAAACAATACTTCAGGAGATACTGTGGTAACCTTGGTTCAGAAAGAAGCTGAGAGCTGGTCTAACCAAGAGCAAACGTCCCCAGACTTGCTCAAGTGAACCAGGGGTTCAAACGTAAAAGCACTTCACCAGAGGGGTTCAGAGGCAAGCAAGGCTGAACTGGGAGCTTGAGTGAGCTAGAGGCTGAGGTCCCCGCTGGCCCAAGACCCGGTGACCCTGTGGATGGCACGGACACGCCTTGAAGACTGTAACAATACACTAGAAAACATAATGAGAAGCAGTTAAGTTGGAAAGAAACAGCCCCCACCTTTCAGTATAAACCCCGATATTTTAATAATATCTTCTCATCATTGCTTAAATTTTTCCTGCTTCTTTTAAAATAACTTTTTCATTTTGACATAATT